GTTCCACCTGCTGTAGGTCACCGACAATGATTTGAAATCCAGGGCGCGTGGTGCTCGATTCCTTCACAAATTAGTAAATGTAAATTACTTATGATTTAAGAAATTCACAGAAAAACTTAATCGGTAAGGAATTTAAGTTAGAAATAATACCATGCATTTGTCGTCAGAATTTTATGGAATAACAATTTAAAAACAGCGCACATGCGTTGGTGTATTAAAATGCAGTTAAAATAAGGATCCATTGCCATTTAAAGGATCAACCCTTTTCTTATTTCTTTCAAATAATTTACTCACATTAATTTCAATTTATATTTCCAGAGTCAATCTTGGACTTTCAACTCAGCAGAGAAGAGAAATTTCTGTTACTTGATATATGGGATTTGTCTGGCAGACCGGTAATACGTGATTTATAAAATTGTACTTTTAAGATGGTGATACGAATGTTTTCTTTTTCTATTGACTGGTTTTCTAAAATGTTATATGATGTTAAATGTAATATTTTAATTCTAGTAGTACATACTACATGTAAATTTGATTTCTCTCTCTCTCTCTCTCTCTCTCTCTCTCTCTCTCTCTCTCTCTCATTCTCCATTTGAAAAACTGTAAAAAAAAAACATTAATCAAATGTTTGATTAATTAACATAATATACTGAAAAGATGCAATAAATAAATAAATAAATAAATAAATAAATAAATAAATAAATTTCCATAACTATCTCTCTCTCTCTAGATCTACCAGGGCTGCCACCAAGTGTATATGACAGGTACCGCCCTGTATGTGTTGGTATTTGATGCGGCCGACCAGGCAAACTATGACGGTGTGACACAGTATATTGATGACATACAGTATAAGGTGGGATAAATAAATTGGAACCGGTGTGACAGGAATGGTTGTCTTAAGAATGGAAGTCCAGGGTCCCCTATAATTAGTACAGGCTATGGTAAGTCGGGATATTGGGGTTAGTAAATAGGACGAATGTCACCTGTACAAAGTAATGGGGAACGGACTACGGTTTCTAGCGGACTACCATTCCTGTCACACGTTTTTTTTAGTTTTTTTTTTTAGACCAAATCTCATTTTATTTCAGGATAAATGCGCAATAGGTCTGGTCCACAGTTTTTAGTGTCTAAAGAGATAGGATTTGTTTTGAATACGTTGTAGTTTTTTAACGTTTCCCGTTGCTTATCTTGTTATAAGTATTTCGTTTAACTAGAAAACTGCTGACTTGTCTGGGTTTTTTTTCCGAAGCGTGGAAGTATAACTGGGACTTCCCTGCTCTAAAAGCTTTGAAATATTTTATCACTTTAAATAAGTGTCACAAGGCAAAAGGTGATTAGTCCGGCTACAAAACAATCGTTGTTAAACTCGGCATCATTTAGCCTCATGTAATTAGATATAATTTGGATTCATTATACATGTAAATGTGAATAATGGATCTAAGGGCATACTGTATAAAGTTGTGATGTAGATGGTTTGATAAGGTGAACTCGATTTCCAATGTCGCATAAAACTGGTTTTTACATTGTTTGAGGTAGCACAACAAGCGTGGATGGTGTAACGGTTAGCATGGTTGCCTTCCAAGCAGTCGATCCGGGTTCGACTCCCGGTCCTCGCAAATCCTTTTTTCCTTCTTGAAAGGATAACAACTGTTCGTTTTGGCCAAAATAGAATTTTCCTGGGGTAAACGACAAGTTTACCATACTTAACAATGGTAAATGAATCCATTTCAACATGTAAAGTTAGTCCCTATTCTTTTCTAAAAAGTTTGTTATTAAGAGATTATTACAGAGTATAGCCATCTGTGAAGGTCCGATGACAAGCACAGATTGCAGAATAATTGCTATAACTGCCATTTTTTTTTTTTTTTTTGTTAAATGGAACATATTATATTTCTATGAGTTGTTAATAATTAATTTATTGTGTAATAGATCTCATACGAACAGTTGTTATCCCTTTTACTTTTTAAAGTTAAAATTTGTCTATTAAAATATGATCGCAAAAAAATGATCAATTTTCTCTGTGTTACTGCAAGTGCTCTAACAATATTCTACACGTTTTTTAGGCTCCTGGCAGCTCTATCATCTTGGTGTCCACAAAGACGGAGAAAGTTCTGCCCCCGGAGAAGCTGAAGGCTAGACACGACCTAGTCAGGTGTAAGATAATGCAGAATGAGACGAGACAAGTGGACAGCATAGCCAGCGAGATACATAAGCTAAGGTATGATAACAGCGGTGTATGGAATATTTAGACTAAAAGCTGTTGCCAGTTGGGTTGCGTGACGTATAGACAGATAATTATAATATTATAATGATATATAAATTAATGAATAGGCCTACATACACACATACACGTAAATAAATATAGATTAAGTTTTTGTTATGATGACATTCTACCTGCAAAAGTCCCAAGCCAAAACTGATGTCATTTTATGAAATATGTGTAATTTTTATTTTTGTTTTTATCTAGAACCTTTTTCGATTTTTTTTTTTTTAGATTTTATGTATCTTAATATTTTTTGTTCATAAAAACCTGTACATGTTTCTTTTTTATGAAGTGTACTGAACTTTAAATGGATTTTAGACTCCAAATAGAAACATGTATCATCTGTTATTGTTATAAATGTATTACATTATTTTCATGGATTATTTATCAAGCTGTACTAAACGATTCTTTCCATTTCATTTGTTGAACTATTTTTTTACCACAGTTCTGAAGAGAGCGACCTTCGAGTGGACAGGAAAATAAAAGAGTTAGAGTATAACCTGAAGCATAGGCCTAGAATACACTCTACCATCATAGGGGCAAGCTCTAAAACTGCAGCGGTAAGAGAGAGAGAGAGAGAGAGAGAGAGAGAGAGACGCGCTCTTGTGTCTTGTGTAGTTTTCTGTGACTAAAATGCCGCTATGACAGCAATGTAAATAACACCTGTCAAATTGTCAAAATTTTAGATATTTTTAAAACATTCTCTACCGATCTATCCAAATAGAACACGACCGTCTTAATTTCATAATATGAGAACAGGGGCTTCACTACAAACGCTGCTGTACGCAACGTAATGTGACGAGCTCGAACTTCATAAGATCGGACAAATTATTTAAAAAAAAACTATGAGCACTATATTATTAAAATATTTTCAGGGCGTTGAGGAGGTCCGCAAGGTTCTCTTGAGCAAGGCGGTGAACTTTGACATCTTCCCCCACCTAAACTGCAGGGTGCTCCCCGAGACCGTCTCCCTCCATAACTACATCACCAGCCTACGCCAGGAGGGCACCTGCCTCCTCACATGGGAACAGTACCGGGACGACGCCATTAAACAGGCTGGGAGAGAGTACGGAGAGCATTTGGAGAAGGAAACGGCTTTCATGCACAAAGTGGTAAGACGAGGCAGTCCCCAGTAAGAGAGGAATACAGGCCTATTGTATGTTACTCTTATTTATCTATTTATTTATATTTCACTCATTTGTTTAATTATTGATTTTGTATTTAGAAATGTACAGACATACCTTTCTACTTTTTGTAAAATCCTGATCAAAATGCCATGAAAAATTGAACGCATTTTGCGATCTCTTGGGTAAAAATACTTTTTAATTTTGGTCTTTCTATACGGTAGAATTTTCTATTTCTGGTTTTTGACATTTGCGCAATATTGCAAACGCTGTCGTTGTATTCGATTAGTTAGCATGGTCATCGGTAGGTTGAAATAAACAAGACACCTGTCCTTTTTTTCTTATTTCACCAAAGACATTTTGCTGATAAGACTGCTCTTAGAGTATTTCAATGGCAAGGGACGGTTAGCCAAGTTGAACTGCAGCTTCATGCTACGCATTTGATAACGATTTAAAATCTCATTCAGTTTAACCTGGCACAATTGTCGTAATTTATCTTATATAGAGGCCTATGGTTTTTACTCCAGGGAGTCATTCAAGATTTCCATTTCAACGACGACAACACCCAGAGTAACTCCAGCCACAACAGTCACAGTAGTCATGGCGCTTGCTTTAGAGTCATCTGTATCAACCCAGTGGGTCTGGCGAAGATGTTTTGTGCACTGCACCTAGACGATCACAAGAAGGCTTTCAAGTTTGAGGCGTCCAAGTTCTGGCCTAGTAAGAGCAACGAGGCACGCCCTGATCCCGGGCTCCTAGTCAAAGCGTTGGAGGAGATCCCTTTAAAGGGACTCGTAAGGGAGGTCCTGCTCCCTCTTCTGTGGCAGGTAAGGGGCAATATGCATTTCCAAAAGCTGTTATTGTGTATGTCATCTCTGGTATTTTAAACCAGGCAGGGTTTGTAAGTTTAAACTCATGAACATTATCAACAGACCACACATCAGAAAATAATTGACTCCATTTTGCAATTCAGAGATATCGAATGAGATACTATTTCCAGGATGTCAGCATGAACCAGGACCAGATAACACTGATGATTCAGCTACTGAAGCGACTCCACCTTTTAACGTTGCACTCTAAAACAAAAAATGGGTTCAGGAGCCTTGCTCTTCCTCTCTATCCACACTTGTCTCCAGATGTCAGGTTTTATGCTCCTCTCATGAACCGTTTGCCTGATAAAAAGCCTGTAAGTCATTAGTTTAAGAAAAATATATATCAAGAGTTTAAAATGCACAGCACAATTGCCTTCACACCTGCCGCAATTGAGAGCACATCTCAATGCAATCAAGTATGCAGTTTGTTGTTTTGGTTGTCTTTAGTATGTCAATAAAGTCATAAACACCAATTAAGCACATTGACTTCATGGTGTTTACTGTTGTTCAAAATACAGTAGAATACCTTAATAACTATTAAATTAATTCAGTTTTCTCATTGTTAGCATTTTAAATGGTTCTTTCACCATCTACATCACAGCTCTCTCTAAAAAGCACACAATGAAAAAGTAACCTTTTCATTTAAAGCAACTAAATTGGACCGAAAATCCCCTAAAAGGTGATCTACAGCTGAGCTGGTGCTTCAAATTCCCACTGGGTTGCGCCAGAGGTGCTCTGCCGAGGATGCTGGCCCTCTGTAAAGATCTGCAGCATGGTGCAAGCTATCAACATTACTACAAGACTGGGCTGTTACTGAGAATAGCAGAGGTGATGTAACACCATTACTAAGATTTTGTGCTTTCTTTGGCTGTTTTTTGTTTTCTTTCTTATTTTTATAATGTTTTTGATGGTTTAAAGAGTTTAAGGTTTTTTCTAATGTACCTGAAAATGGTTATTGTATTCCTTCAGTTTTCCTTCCCTAATGCCAGTGTTTATTTATCATAAGTCTGGGACAGCCAAATTACCATTTACCGAAACCCTTTCTTAACTCATTGTACACAGTGTGTATGTTTTTTCAGGTGCATAATGCAAGACACCAATAGTCTGTTTAAAAAACCCAAATGCCTACATTTGGCAACATAAAGCTCAGTTTCTTTCCAGTCTGTATATATTCTCAGTGGGTAGGTGCACATTTGTGTACATTAGAACATAAAGTACCCACAGCTTCTGCATAAAAATGGTGAATCTCCATTTCGTCTGTATTTATTCTTAGGTGTACGTTTGTATAACAACCCCTACTGCCACATCTCTGCACATAGAAGCCAGGACAAATGGCGAGGAGCACCTTGGAGATGAGAAGTCAGTGGTGGAACTACTTTGGGTGCATTTAGCTTTCTTTATTCAGTCACTCCAGGAGTTTCTAGGGAGCTGGAAGGGAAGCCCATACACAGTGAGTTTAAGGCTCTATTCCCATAGATTTTAGATCGATCTATTCCTGCAGGGAGTCTCACTAGATTACTTTCAGATAATCCGACTTAAGTGTCCGTCCCGCCTACTACAAGCTGTAAGGGTGTAATTAACTTTCGTGTCCGCCTGGCTGACAGCTATTTAGCGTGAACCCCCAGGGATCCGGAGTTAGGTCGATCTAAACTAGGTCGATCTAATCTATGGAAATGGGGTGTAAGTGTTATATACAGTATTAATTCAAGATCTGATTAAGTTATTTGGTGATCCAGTCACATAATGTTTTATGCTCCATCACTGGTGGATCCAGGATTTTGCTACAGGTAGGGGGCAAGGGGCTTTTTTTGGGGGGGAAGGGGGGGGCAGAAAGAAAAAATTAAATATAAGACAATAAAAGGCAATAATACACATACTTTAATAGGGATAGGAAAACTATACTATGTTTTATCAAAAGCATAGGGATGGGAAAACTGTGTCTTATTCTGCCTTATACCCTGGTTATTGGGACAGAGAGAGAGTACCTCACCTAAGGTGGAGGGGTGGGGGCATGTGGATCTGCAATGTAGGGGTGGATCCAGAGCTATTTACTGACAGTCTTCCAATTTTCATCTTTGTTGATTCATCCTCCAATTTTGACTGTCTTCCAACAAAGAAAATTAGATATCCGTCAATATAAACTTGAAAATCTGACCGTCTTCCAGAAGACCCAGAAGACTGCTTAAATCCGCCCCTGCAATTGTCAGCATTTAAATATGTACATAGTCACTGGGCAGTTGGATAGAGATTCTGCAATATATACCTTACTAGTAAGCTTGACTATATGATGGAAATATCTGATAGCAAACAGTCACTAGTAACAGAGCCACCAATTTTTCAGACTGGGAAAGTGAAAAATAGCTCAATCAAAGAATGCTATTGGGCATGTAGAGTAATCACAGATTGCAATACGGAGTAAATTTACAGAGAAAGATGAGGGTATATATTTTTATTTACGATCCTCTGATTGGTATCCATAATATTATGATACTGTCAGAAAACGGGTATATTAATGACTTCGAACACAAATGAGAATGTGCAAAAATACATTTCCTTATCAGGTGTGGCTGAAACCATCGGGAACAGTTTTTTACAAAGGAGCAAAAGTCACAGAGCCACAGTCTTTCCCCCTCTACCAGTGTCTGCACAGTCTACACAAGGGAACCAGTGTCAAGTTCAAAGATGGTGGAGACACCAACCTTCAGCTGGACCTAGAGGTGTTGTTCCCAATACCTGGTGAGAATGGAGTTTCATGGCACTGAAACAAACCTGAGTTCTCTCCCCCCCCCCTCTCTCTCTCTCTCTCTCTCTCTCTCTCTCACACACACACACACACACACACAGACACATACATACACACACACACACACACACACACACACACACATTGACTGATATATGCCTCTCTCTTTTTTCTCTATTTCTCCAGTTCTCTCTCTCTGTCTCTCTCACTCATTAAAGGACAGTTCTATAAAATCCACAAAATCCACAAAATAAATAAATATCATTTATTACACTCCTCCACCCTTAGTTTTATAACTGAGTTAAATAACTGGAAGCTGACCCCCACTATCAATACATGAAGGCTTCAGTTGGTTTCCAGAAGAATCTGAAACTCGGGGTGACAGCCACTATTCAATCTGCCGGTGATAACCAAATCAAACAAATAATGAAATATTGAACAGTCTTGAAGTTCACTTCCAGTCCGGTATTGACTTCCAGTTAATGAGCATAACTCATTTGACACTTTGAGGACAGAGAGAGTATGTTCCCTGGCAGCCCTCTAAGGAAATGTTATTTCTTGTTAATGTGCTAAAATTGGGATCGACATACACAAGACTGAATTTATTCAATTTCCTTGGAGAGTCTTCCTGGTGATGAGTTTATTTTGTTCAGTTAGCTCAATTTAGGTATCAATGGATTCTTACAGACCAAAATTGATTTTCCATTCATTTTTCCCCCAAGTATAGCCTTACTGGTGATAATACCTTATCTACTCTCCTAGGTGTTAATCAAGTCACTGGCTTCTGTTATCTTCCTTTAAATCAGCTACTTTCATTGGTCTCTCAGGCATTTCACTCGGGTTACTGACTGCGCAAACAAGTCAGTTTTTCACACGTTTCATGGACTTAAAAGATATCCATATATTAGCACAGTCCTCCTTTGAAGTATATTAGCACAGTCCCCATAATATTAATCCACTTATCTTGTCCACTTGTGCACTATTTTTGTCATTTGTTAAAGGCCATGACTTATTTAATTTACAATCTCAACATTGAACATTACCTAAGGAGATTATAGTACTAAATCATGCATGTGAGATACATACTGTAAGCCATTTTAATTTTTTTGTTTTATCTCAGATTTATTTAGTAATTAGGAATACTGGTACCTGTAGATTTGAAATGCCAGAATTAGGGTTCACCATAACAGTAAACTTTCAAGTACTTACATTTGGTGTTTCAAATTACAGTGCTACCCAGTGATTTGGTAAATTAAGTTATTATAATGGTCTTGATGGCAAAGATTTTAGCTTTGTTTATATTTTGTGTCCTAGTCCACTGTAGATAGACATTTTTGCCACATACACTGTACATGTTACTAGTACCTCAATATCACTGCTTGTATATGTAATATCTACCTGTGGCTGATTGCTGTTGAAAGGCCAAGACCTTTTGGCAACTACGTAAATCCAAGATGGTTTGGATTTCACAGCTACATGGTTTGAGTTTATGGTTGTTCTAAAGATGACAAATAATGGGATGAAATAAAATGACATGGAAAAATAGAAAAACCTGAACATAAAAACAACTTCACACTCCATTGTCCTTCCTTTTTTTCTGAGATAATTGTCAGGACATCAGTCAATATGATGTCAGCCAGTGACCTTATTGGACACGTCCAAGAGCATTTCCTACGTATGTGCTTCATAACTGTCCAATCCTAGCTCTCAGCCTTCCCTTGTTGGCTCTACATGGTATTCAGTTTACTGCACACTGTCTATTGATCATAACTCAGGTCTGCCACAGCACACAGTGGAGGAGTGGATCCGCCAGGTATTACTGAGACGAACCAGTGTGGTTCAGCAGTTTGAGGAACAGTCACCCTGTGGCACCCCGCCCACACCTCTCGCATCTGTCCCAACGGTGCTGTTGCCAAATGACATGTTATCTTCCACAGGGAGTCATGGAAAGACAACAGTCACTAACAAGAAAAAAGTAAGTATTTCACAGCCCACTTGAGGCTGAATTCTTTTTGCCCTAAAACTGCTGGATACTGGTACACTGTACTTCTAGCCAAGTTGAGCTGGTGTACCAAATCTGTAAAGGGTTTGGTGGAAAATGGTCAAATGTATTGATTTTTCTTCAGCCAAATTAGATTATTTTCTAGGAATAGTTTAGACATACTGTATTATCCAGCAGGCCTAGGAAAACTATTTTATGTGGACAGCTACCATTAACAAAAAAAGTAGTGATGGTGTGGGGAGAGAGATAACAGCAAAGATGTACTTGGAATTGAACATCAGTCAGTGATCCGTTAGCTCAGGCTCCAGGTCCACCATGAAATACCAATTTTTTCATGATATATTATGAGATTCAAGTATACATTTGAATTTAGAATATTGACCAGGGCATCTTAATTAGTACATGTAGCTCTACTGCTACAAGTTACTTGACAACTGACTTAGGGCTGCTATATGACTGAAAAACTGGGGAAAGTAATTTTCTACACGTGAGCCGTCCTTGCCTCCCTCCCCCCCCCAGCCCCCCCTCCACACACACACACACACACACATGCACACACACACACATATACACTCACACATACATACAAACACGCACACATATACACACAAACACACACTCTCACACACATACCCCGGTATACCTGACTTTACTGTATATATGCCCTAGAGAGAGCAAAGGTTTTGAACACTATTAATTAAATCTGTTATCCATAAGAGGCAGTCAATGTACCAGTACAATAGTATGTGCAATGGAAAGAGTAGAAACATAGGTAGGTGAGTGGTGATTATATTGTTTCCACACTATGAAATTCTGACCACAGGCCACCATATGCAGTTGTTTTAAGGGTACAAATGAACACGGAACAGGTAGTTTGTTTTTAAGTTGATTGATTATCTAGTGCTAGAAGCCTGTGTATTTGCTGATTAACGCCTGGAGAACTGAATTGATTTTTACCCAGAGTTTAAAGATGTGATTATCTTGTATTCCCCTTTGAGCTTAACTTTATTGGTTTCTCAAAGCACATATAATCAGATATACCTGTATATAAGAGATGGAGAAAGAAAGAAAACATTTATATGTTTAGTTTGAAGTGTTTCAATTATTTTATCAATTCCGTCAAATTTAAATATATACTACTGGAAGATTATAAAGTTCAGATTTTTTTTTGTTGGAATCAACAGAAGTCCTGTAGCCTGCAATTTTGAAAGAAGGTTCCCCATAGTCTTTTTTCAGTCTATAAAAGTGGATCTTTTTACCCCCTTAAGTTGATCCAACTTGAGAAATAACATACAGCTTTGTTCAAATTTTGTGTCAAAATGGATTTTATCAAGCGAAAAAGGACAGTTCTTCCAGAACCAGCACACCAATCTCCTCCTATTGGCTATTTGTGTGTCATAGTACAGTGCAAGTCTCTGAAACAGCTGTCTTAAACCCCCTCTTGCGTAGCTCAGTGACAACTGCTTAACTGCTCACTTGTAGATAAAACTAAAACCATGCTTTCAACAATAACCACCTTAATTTATGAGAACACATTTGATTAATGAGCCGTAGGATATTTCAAGGATTGAAACTTAGCTGCAAAGTACA